GAGAAGTTACGAAATACTTTAAACTCGGCTTGTTTACCGTTGCGTAAGTGGTTGTTTAACGTTGATATCAGTGACCACGACATATCTAAAGACTTGTCATTAGGAGAACATTCCCAAACTAAGACTTTAGGAGTGGGTTGGTATAATAAAAGTGATGAACTTCATTTTACCACACGAGTAGTTAGACCGAATTTACTAAATAAACGTACAATGTTGTCGATAATCGCACAAATATACGATCCTCTAGGAATTTTAACACCGGCTGTCGTAGTAGCTAAAATATTGATGCAAAAAAGTGTGGTTGTGCAAGATAAATTGGGATGATCCCGTTCCTAGTGATGTTGCTTTATCCTGGGAAAAATTTATTGACACACTTCAATATTTGCATAACCTACGTATTCCGCGTCATGTTATGAGCGCACACACACAGTTTATAGAATTACACGTATTCACGGACGCGTCGCAGAGTGCGTATGGTGCATGCGCATATGTTCGCACCTACTCTGATGACTCATCGGTGACTGTTAGATTATTGTGTGCAAAGAGTAAAGTTGCACCAATTAAACCAGTCAGCATACCCCGATTAGAACTGTGCGGGGCTTTAATAGGCGCACGATTATATAGGAAAATTATCGAGTCATTGCGTGTTAATTTCCACAAAATTTACTTTTGGACAGACTCAACTATTGTCCTTGGATGGCTACGTATGTCACCACATTCGTTAAAAACATTCGTTCAAAATAGAATAGTGGAGATTAATGAAATAACAAGTAATGCGTTATGGTTACATGTAGGAACCAAAAATAACCCAGCGGATCTGGTCTCGCGGGGTCTTAGTCTTGATGTACTCATTGACAGTAATCTGTGGTGGAGCGGACCTGAGTTCTTAAAAAATTCTGAGTCGGCATGGTCACAGCAATCTTCGACTACACACTCCGACTTACCAGAACTAAAATCACAAACGACAACGGTTATGGTTTGTGATGTAACAAAGAATAAAATTATTAATTTTGAAAGGTTTCGTTCTTATCAGCGTATCGTGCGCGCCGGCGCTTACCTGTTGCGATACATACATAACTTACGCACACCAAAGAAAGATCGTACACAGGGGCCGTTATCAGTAGATGAATTGAATGACTCCTTACAGTCGTTAGCGCGTCTTGTTCAACGCGAATCGTTTCCGATGGAATATGATAAGTTAAAACATAACTTACCTTTAAAAACTTCAGGTTCGATTTCTAGGCTTAATATATTTCTAGATGAAAGGGATATAATTAGAGTAGGTGGCCGTCTTAGTAACTCGCCTGACTTTCATTACGACAAGAAGCACCCGATACTTTTATCAAGTAAACACAACTTCACACAATTGTTGTTTCAACATCAACACAAAGAGCTTCTTCATGCTGGTCCCCAGCTGCTATTGGCCACCGTGCGTGAGAATTGGTGGCCGTTAGGGGGTAGAAACCTAGCTAGAAAGGTTGTCCACCAATGTGTTCGCTGCACTCGAATGAAAGGTAAAACCCTAACACCAATCATGGGCAACCTTCCGTCTGAACGAATAGAACCTGGTTTCCCATTCATTCGATGTGGAGTGGATTATGCGGGTCCCATAAACGTACTGAATCGCAAAGGAAGGGGAGCTAAATTGGAAAAGGGCTATATTTGCATATTCGTTTGTTTTGTTACCCGGGCCATTCATCTAGAACTTGTCAGTACGTTAGCTGCTCAAGAATTTATATTAGCACTTAAAAGATTTATCTCACGACGAGGTAAACCAGCTCAAATTTTCTCAGATAACGGTAGAACTTTCATTGGAGCCATGAAAGAGATTAACAAAATGTTAGAGCGAAATTCAAAGCAAATAATTGATAGATTATCAACTGACAATATTGAATTTAAATTTATTCCCCCTTATGCTCCTCACTTTGGGGGATTGTGGGAAGCAGGAGTAAAATCATGTAAGTTCCACCTCAAGCGTGTCGTGGGTACCGCTAACTTGACATACGAGGAGTTCAGCACTGTGTTGGCACAGATCGAAGCAGTCCTAAACTCCCGTCCTATAAGTCCTATGTCCTCAGATCCACATGATCTTCGTCCACTAAGCCCAGCTCATTTCCTCATCGGCCGGCCACTCACTGCACCAGCCTGCAGAGACCTCACCGAAGCACGGACTCACAGCTTGAAACGGTTTCAAAGAGTGGAACAAATAAAACAGCACTTCTGGAAACGCTGGTCACAAGAGTATGTTGCTGAACTTCAGACAAGAACGAAGTGGAAGGCGAACAGTGAAGACATAGCATTAAACACGCTTGTCGTTATTAAGGAGGACAATTTACCACCCCTTAAATGGCGTATGGGCAGAGTTACCCATATTTTCCCCGGAAAAGACGGCGTGTCGCGTGTCGCCACCATCCAAACTGCTACGGGTCCTGTACAACGAGCGTTCTCGAAAATCTGCCTTCTGCCTGTATCATCAGCAGAGGACGACAACATGAATGCAGCCTGCGGTATCTCCAATCAAGCGGCAACGTAGATACATCATTGGAAGCTGGAGCTTCCAAGGCGGCCGGCATGTTGGCGCGACTTCTAACGCCGCCTAGCGACGCACCGGAACACCAAACTTTTAGCTACGAATCAGAGCTCGTCATTCTTAGCAACCAATCACAGCACGTCGTGCAATTAGTTATAAGATCTGTCTGTTTTAAATTTTGATTATTACCTGATACACACTGTTAGCAATAAGACGACTTAAATATAACCAACAAACGTTCAATAAATCAATTCATTGAAGAGCACCTGCCTCCCGTTCCTGTACACCTGGCGTATGTGGACTATGAGAAAGCCTTTGATTCCGTCGAAATTTGGGCGGTGCTACAGTCCCTTCAGCGGTGCCAAGTTGACTGTCGGTATATCGAAGTGCTGAAGTGTTTGTACAGTAAGGCTACGATGGCTATCCGAGTATAGAATCAGAGCTCGAAACCTATCCAACTGCAGAGAGGTGTAAGACAGGGTGACGTTATATCCCCCGAAACTCTTCACCGCTGCATAGGAAGACGTTTTCAAGCTACTGGACTGGAAAGGATACGGTATTAACATCAATGGCGAGTACATCACTCACCTTCGATTTGCCGACGATATAGTCCTTATGGAAAAATCGCTGAAGGACCTTAGCACTATGCTCAATGACCTCAATGGTGTCTCCCAACGGATAGGTCTTAAGATGAACATGGACAAAACAAAGATCATGTTTAATGTCCATGTCTCACCTATGCCGGTAGTTGTTGGGAGCACTATGCTCGAAGTTGTTGACGAGTACGTTTACCCGGGACAAATAGTCCGATTAGGTAAGTCCAACTTCGACCGAGAGGTCAATCGACGGATTCAACTCGGCTGGGCAGCGTTCGGGAAATTACGACACATCTTCTCGTCAGGTATACCTCAATCTCTGAAAACTAAAGTGTACAACCAGTGCGTGTTGCCAGTGATGACTTACGGATCAGAGACGTGGTCCTTCACTGCTGGCCGTATGAGGACGCTCAAGGTCGCTCAACGAGCTACGGAGAGGGCTATGCTCGGAGTTTCTCTGCGTGATAGACTCAGAAATGAGGATATCCGCAGTAAAACCAGAGTGACCGACATAGCCCAACGGATTAGTAAGCTGAAGTGGCAATGGGCCGGCCATATAACTCGAAGAACCGATAACCGATGGGGAAGAAAGGTTCTCGAGTGGCAGCCTCGTACCGGTAGGCGTAGTGTAGGGCGACCCCCCACTAGATGGAGTGACGACCTGGTAAGACATGCAGGAAGTCGATGGATGCAGGTGGCTCAGGACCGTGCTTTGTGGCATTACTTGGGGGAGGCCTATGTTCAGCAGTGGACTTGTGAAGGGCTGTAATGATGAATAATGATGATGAACCAATAATATTGTTCCATACCTGCATTGGATCTTGTTTTAGATCAACATCTAAAACAACAAAAATAACAATTCTGAGGGCATGTCCAACTCACTCTGCGATGGTATGCTATTTTTTTCTTGTACGAGTTTATAGTGGTCGCTCCACAGATGAAACTCTTCTGGTTCATTGTCTTCCAATTCAACTTCGTCACGATTCTCTTCTTCTTCTGTAACCTTTAGCTCTGCAGTGGTTATTAATTCCTTTACCTTTCTTATTGTTTTCGAATCTTGGAAATGTATATTTTTAAAACGGGGATCCAACAGAGTTGAAATGGCAAGTATTGTCACATGTTCAGAAGGCAACAAACGTCGTTTTATTTCAACTAATATGTTATTTCTGAGATTTTCTCCGGTGGCACTTTTAGGCTGCAAACTGTTGATTTTTAAATTTAACATTCGCGTTAAGGGAATTACTTTACTACTTGTCACAAAACTTTCTCCACATACTTCCCGAGTCGCGACTTCTATAGGTCGCAGAATTTCACAGACCTCTGTCAATTCTTCTATTTATTTTGCAGTTATCATTGTAGGAGCACTGGTATGGATGTTCACAATTTGGTTTATAGCTGGACGCAGGTTTAAAAATCTCTCGATCATATAAAATGTCGAATTCCACCGAGTGCGACGTCTTGTATAAGTTTTTCATCAGATTGTTTCCGTAATTCATCACTGGCTGCCACACAGTGTTTGAACCAGGTAACAATTTTTCTACAGGATGCGATCAAATGTGGTAACTTGTCGGTTTTCTCAATTGACTTTTGCGCTACTAAATTAATCAAATGAGCGAAACAAATAACGTGGCATTTTCTTCCAAACGCATGATCAACAGCTTTAACTACATTTGCTCCCCCATCAGTTACTACTACTAATACTTTTTAGTATCTATGAACCATTCGTCACATGTCTGCAATAGCATCCTTGCGATACATTCAGCAGTGTGTGATTCTGATAATTCGTAGAATCCTAAAGTAGCCGATACTATGTTGTCCACGTCATAAAAGTGTATTGTAACACCAATAAAACTCCTGCTTTGCATAGTATCAGTTCAGATATCGGTCGTGAGTGTTATACTATTTAACCCTTTAATTTTATCCTTGAACAGGTTCTTTGTAACTTCATATCGGTCGTCTAACATTCTCTTTAAAGTGTGTCTGGAAGGAAGTTTATACAGAGGAGCAGCTATCTTCATCAGGTTTAAAAATCCTTCATTTTCTACTATTTGAAAAGGCTGTGAATCCTTGCAAATCATGTACAAGAGTGCATTTGTTAGCCTAATTCCTTTCGCACCATTTTCTGCGAATTCAATAACGTTCCGAAAACTGTCATTTAGAGTGGGTTGGTACGATTTTTTAAAACCAGATTGTGTATTAATACTATTGTCACTTACATTTAAAGTACTACAATCAGTTTCACGTGAATATATTTCAAGATCTAAAGCAGTGCTAGAGGAAGCCAGTCCAACAGAACTACAGGAAGTTTGCACTGTGGGTTTTTGTATTAATACGTCTTTACGGGATTTCTTCGCTACTACAATATTTTCTGTACTATCCTTACTTTTCTGTTTTCCCAGTAATGACTCATGCATCTTTTCGATGTACAATTTTAAATTTGTAGTGTTACCACAAGTTTTGAGAACTTTTGAGCATGTACATTTTGCTTCACCATTGCTAATTTTGTCGAAAAATTCCCAAAATCTACTTTTCGGAGGCATCGCAGCAATGTTAGCCCTAAAAAATTTAACAATTTAGTTTTTTTCAAGCCTAGAAATACCAAAAATATGTAGGAACTGAAAATCTTTTAGGAACATGCAATGCAAACAACGCTTTTTAATTTTACATTTTAGTGTTATTATTTTGATCATTAAGTGCTGTGATATGAACACTCACTAATCTCGAATGAAAAAATTTACAATGGGACTTAATTTACGATTTAGAGGTAGTTTTCATATCAACCACACCTATCGCGAATTAAAAAAAATATTATAAATCGCGAAATAAAAAAATATAATAGATTGTTGAAAAAACATTAACAAACTTTATGCAAACAAAATAATAGACTCTTCAGTCACCTTTGTTCACGATTTTTTATCAGGCAGCCCAAGCAGACGGTCTTCACAGCCCTTTATAAAATTCACAGTCATTTGTACCACAAACGAATACACGATGTAGTGAAATTGTCTATGCATGCACGCTCAGTAATTTGATTGCTTAAAAGATATCCGCAAAAAATCTTAAATAAAAGTAACTTGATTTTATAACCTTCAAGCAAACAAGAAAACAACAAACTCATTATGACAAGCTCTTAAATGCAGCAAATAAAAGAGCTAAATTTATGTGTAGATACTTACATATTGTAGCAAAAATATATGGGTATACACAGCAAGAGAAAAGAAACAATTAATTTAAATATAACACTGAGATAACAGGTGATCACTGACAACGATACTACTCCATAATGACCAAGCTACAGCAATGACACTGTGACATAATTTGACAGTAGACACTTCATTTTGACACACCATAGTGATATTTTTTAAGTTAACGATGCGTTCAGGAATTTTGAATTATTCAAAATTTTAAATCTTTTAGAGGCGATACAAGTTTTAGTTAATATTGATTCGCGGGTTCCCATTGTTCGCAAGAGGTTTATAATCGATTATGGATTAATTGATATCATACGTCAAACATCGAAACATCGATGTTTTAATTCTTAACATCGATAATCATCGAACATCGATGATCATCGATCATCCCTAGTTTGATAGTTTGATTTGATAAACAAGAACAACAAATTTGTATAACAAAAGTGGTACAGAAAATTTAAACTAAGTTACTAACTTTGTTAACTCGTTTTACGTACACTATTTTTTAAATAGTATTTTTTCATAAGAACTTAAAAATTTCTATTTTTTAATTTATGCGCGATGCCTGCTTCATATAAATGGTATAGTAATGAGTTTTTTGGTTACTATTAAAACTAAAAGACGAATTGAAACAGATCCACGTATATAACATAGAGTATGAATATTTACAGGACTTCATTAAGGAAAACAACTAAAAACAGTGGCGATTTCCCTAGCATAAATGTATCTACACATCCATTAAAAGTTGAGGTTGTAAGTATGGTAAGTAAAAAATCATAGCATTGTATAGAACAACTGCATTAATATGAGCCTGCATTAATATATGTATGTATATTCTATATATATATGACTTGAGTCTTACTTGCGTCGTCGGCGGCCGAGTTGCAAATGATGGTTACATTAATGAACAGGTCATTAAAAGAAAGGGGAATGAAAGTGAACGCAAGTAAGACGAAAGTGATGGTTTTTGAAAGAGAAGAAAGCAAAACGGTACGTGAAATAAGAATAGAAGGAGAGTTAATTGAGCAAGTGGATGAGTTCATATATTTGGGATGTGTATTCAGCAGGGATGGGAGATATGATAAGGATATTGAACGACGAGTGAATGCAGGAAATAAAGTAAAAAGGTCTACACTCTTGTGAAAAGTCAGAATGTGTCAATAAAGGCACGTATGGCAATTCACAGTGCTGTATTAGTCCCTACTTTAATGTATGGTAGTTGGGTGTGGCAGAAGAAGCACGAGAGTAGAATAAATGCAGTAGAAATGCGGTCGCTAAGGAGTATGTTAGGGCTGAATCTGAGTGACAAGGTGAGAAACTGTGTGATAACACAAGAGTGTGGTTTGCAAGATGATGCGGTGACCAGGATTAAGAAAGGAATGCTTCGGTGGTTTGGTCATATAGAAAGAATGAATGCAGAAAGACTGACAAAGCAATTATATGTTGCAGAAGTGAATGGAAGAGTCGGAAAGGGACACCCTAGGCGGAAGTTTGTCAACCAAATTGGCGATATACTAAAAATGGGCCAAATTAAGAGTACCCTTAACCGACGAGCATGTATGAGTAGGTATATGGATGTGGAAGAGGCGAGAAAGGTATGTCAGGATCGTGCTAAATGGAAGTCTGTAGTCTCTATCTACCCCTCTGGGTGACAGGCGTGAGTGTTTATGTATATATATATATATATATATATATATGTATATATATATATATATATATATATATATCAGCCCTTTGTAATCCGTTGCTGGAAACAGACCTTTTCAAGAATGCTAGCTAAAGAACTCCGAAGAGATACTATTCCATGGCAATGTTGATTTCCATTACTAGTCTGCAGGATTTGTGTTTGATCATTATAAATGGTTGTACCTTCAAGACATGGCCAGTAGGTACTTTAAGTAGTATGGTGATACATGTATAATTGAGGTGGGCATTTAAAGTTGTTACACCTCTGCTATTTTGCTATTAAAATATTTGTGTCATTAATATTGTACAAAAAATTGTTTACAGAAACAAAGTTCGAATAAGAGCTTCATAGAAAATATAAATAAATGGAGTGCAGCTTTTGAAGAAGCAGATCCTCTAATGAAATTTGAACAAATAGAAGCAGAAGAGGTAATCTATCTATAGTATATCTATAATATTAATAAAGTAGTAAAGAAATTGTTTGTGTTGTATTTGTTGTTGTGGTTTTTTGTTATATGCCATGTATAATAAACAGTGGTGCCACCCTGGTAGCAAAAAATAATAAAATATAAGAAAAGAAATAACAAATTATCAGTAGTTTTTTTTTAAATATATGATATACACACACTCTAAAAGACGAAAACCTGATTTTAAAATACAACTTACATATTAAAAAAAAAGTATTTTTTATCTGGTTATTTTTTTTTAAACATAACATTGCATGTATGAACAATTTTTCTTTCTTTGTTTCAGTCCCAATCCATTATCACAATATCCTATCATGACTATTCTTAAAATAATTATGAATTAAAATATGAAGTAGCTTATTTTATTAACCCACAATTCTGCTGCATTTATAAAATTGCTTCTAAATAATCTATTGGTTACCTAAAATATAATTTGCTTTGTAGACTTGATGAAGTGAAAACTTTTATAGTGTCATCATGATTTGAAACTGGATGAAACGAAAAAGCGACACTAAAAAGAGACAAATTCTAAAAAAAAAATCTTTAGGTAAAGATTTTTTTTTAGCCAGCAGTAAAATATTGTGATAGAATACCGTGTAGTAAGTGACTGTAGCCTAATGGCAGGGTGCAGACAGCAAACTCAAAAAGTTGTGGGTTCGAATCCACCATTTGACTACTGGTGTGACCACTCTTAACACATTTTTTTAACTTGCCAATAGTGGTTATTTCGGAGTCCTCATTGTGCGGTGCTTTAAATCCTATACTTAAAATGAGCAATTCTTGTATATATATAATCGGAATCTCGGAAACGGCTCCAATGATTTTCATAAAATTTTGTGTCCAGGGAGTTTTGGGGGCAATAAATCGATCTAGCTAGGATTTATTTTTAGAAAATGTTTTTTTGTCCGTGTTTTCAATCAATGAAAAACTGCTACAATATAAGAAGGTAAATTTCGACATTGTCTCAATGATCGTAATAGCTCAAGTGGATATATAGCGGTCGCGAAATCGTAATGCCTTGGTTCGCGTCCTGTTTCCGGTCCGATTTTTTTCCCTTTTTTTCAAGTTAACTTCTTTTGTGAGAAAAATCTATTATTTTGAGCCCTTTTTTTAGTATTTTTTAAAAATACGAAAATTTTAATTAAACTAATTGATTTTTTATTCAAATAACCCGTTTAGTTTTTTCTATTATGACAATAAGATCAAAAATATTGTTCATCAGTATGTAATTTGTATCTAAATGTAATTTCAATAAAAAAAAAACAAGCAAAGCTCGGTCATCCGGGTACTGTAGTTAATATAAATTTTAAGTGTTCTTAAATAGTAAAAAAAAAAAATTACAAACTTATCAATTAATTCTTATCAATCATATTCAATTAATTCTTAACAATCCACGATTTCATTGCTTACTAGTATATATTAAATTTATTCACTGCCTTTCTTATTAAAATATAATTTGTGATTAAAAGTTACATTAAATTTTGGTGGCTACTGAATATTATTATGACAAACACTATTTAATATTATTATTTTTATTGATTGTCGTAAATGAAACAGGATGGATAGAAATAAAAACCAATAATAAATTATAAATTTCAATATTTTTGCAAGAAATTACTAGCATTCAGTAATTTATTGCATTTTTTATTAACTCACTCAATAGGCTGACCAATTTAATTTTTGTATGTTGTTGTGGCTTTGAGTGTGCTTAGCCAGATATTGCCCGGACAATCCCGATTCCCGCTTGCACTAATGAGATTGTTAAATACAGTTTTGAGTGGTTATTTACCATGTTCTAGGCGGTGGCGGAAGACATCTTGAGGAATTCTGTATGTCTGAGAAATAAAATAGATCGGATCACACTGGAGCAGTGCGGCGGGTTAATTGCTCCATAATCCTCTCTGAAATGCGAGAAGGAGTGTGCCCACTGCCTAGCTGTAGAACGTAGGATATAGGCTGTAACTTTGACTATTACTTTTAAATTACAAAAAAAATGCGTTGCAATTTTACAACTAACAATTATGACATGGTAAAATCCAAGTAAAGTCTTCTCTCGTCAACTTTCAGGAAATAAGTTCATTAGCAAAAATAGATATTCAAACTAATTATTCTCAAGCATGGAGCAAGAGGCGAACAAATATTTTAAATAAATATACTACTGGAGAAAAATTGACGATTGTAAGCAGTTTTCTTCCAGGTGGTGAAAAAGGTATGTATGAAGATTTTAGTAATAACGAGAAAATTCGCACAAATTGTATCTGTTTTTTTATTGTACTGTCATCTGAAAGCTACGTGTACGTACAAAATAAATAAGCTAATATGTGCGCACAAACTTAGTTACTTTTTATAAACCATCACATACTATAGGCGGACGGATCGCCCTGGGTGGTTCTTTTTATTTATTTATTTAAACCTTTATTATTGGTTTTTATTGGACTTAATGCCTTAAGGCATTCTCTCCCAGTCAACCATTAAGCTAAGTAGAGATAAACATATGGGAGGTAGTGCAGCAAAAATAAACTAATAATGAGTGAAAAAAACAGTAATGAAGCTCGAATAAACCAGAATATATTTAAAAAAGGTATTCTATACATACATCAATACAAATGTACATATAATAATATAAATATATTATTACAGGAGTACACAAATACATAAATCTACTTAAATACATATAATATATAAATATGCCATTATATTTTATATCTTTTTATTGGAAATTTTATATCACTGTTGCATTTAAGATATTATTTCCAATTACACGCTGGTAATTTGCCAACTCATATGCTTCGTTTTCGGACAACAGCCTGATTTATGTTTTACCCTTTACATGAAAACATTACTATCCCTCCACCATTACTTAAAAATAACATATAATCAAAACATCAAAAAAAATTAAGAAATAAACACGTCTAAATTATACATTTGTACTTATCAAGGATTTCTCATAGAATGCACAGGTAGATCATGATATCCGGATATACGTTGAATATATTATCCAGATATTCGTTGATTATAATATCCGGATACTATAAGTTTGATTTTCCGGATAAAACGAATAACACGAATAGTTAGTTTTTTGGGTTCTGTAGTTATACAACAAGGAAACGCTTATAGTTTCCATTGTCCGTCTGTCCGTGGTTTTACCTACCGGTCTATTCCATCGTGTGGGGTGGCGTTGTATATATGATTTTCAAAAATATTGGGGGTATGGAACGATTTTTTTTCGATTCAATGGTTCGTTTGCGAATTATTTAGCTTTAAAATGGTGTTTTTTATAATAATCATGTAACCATCATTTGCAACTCGGCCGCCGATGACGCAAATATGACTTGATCATCGGCATACAAAAAGTATTTGACGGTTAACTTGCCCATTCTTAATCCACATTCTTCACGTTTCAAAGTTTGCAAACAACTGTCCATAAATAGATTGAACAGCCACGGGGAAGCTACACAGCCCTGCCTGACACTTTTTTGATTCGTGATCCTGTTACTACCTGTTGAAGAGTTCCCTAGTGAGGATACCTACCTAGCTGCACCACCAGGTTTTATATATCATATTATTGCATAGTCACTGAAGTTACAGTATACAAAATTTCAACTCAATCAGACATCGGGAAGTGGTTCAAATCTTACTTGCAATATGTGAACTTAACACACATACCTACTATATACCAACCCACCCACATACCTACAAATATATATAATTGTAAAAGCTTGTAATAACGAAAAAGAGGTATAAACCCACCGTGTAATACACTCTTCTTATTAAAAAAGGGATCATACAATTAAATAAAGGTACTTACTTGAAAAAGTAGTAATCAAATATTTAAATACCTTTAAACGAGCAATTCTTGTATATATATTTATATATAATCGGAATCTCGGAAACGGCTCCAACGATTTTCATAAAATTTAGTGTCCAGGGAGTTTCGGGGGCAATAAATCGATCTAGCTAAGATTTATTTTTAGAAAATGTCTTTTTGTCCGTCTTTTCAGACAATGAAAAACTGCTACAATATAAGAAGGTAAACTTTGACATTGTGTTAATGATCGTAATAGTTCAAGTGGATATAGAGCGGTCACGAAATCGTAATGCCTTGGTTTGCGTCCTGTCTCCAGTCAGATTTTTTTTCCTTTTTTTTCAAGTCCCCTTCTTTTGTGAGCCCTTTTTTTAGTATTTTTTAAAATACGAAGATTTTAATTAAACTAATTGCTTAAAATGTTTTAATTAAAACCAAAGCTCGGTCATCCAGGTACTTTTTAATTAGTTATTGTACTTGGGATAGTTAAAGCATGATATATTTCTATTTTTTCTAGTATTATTCATACACACAGTACTATAAACAACCATTATTAATAATACAACGTGTTTACATTAAAATATTCAAACTTCCAACTAATAAAACAAACAATGTGCGTCGCACTGTCCCTGAGATTTGTCAACTGGGTGTGCCAGCGTAAACGGTTTTTTTTTCAGTCTCGCCGCGTACTCGACAATTGGCCAGTGGTCACGCACACATGCCCCGCGTGCTTGTAGTACTGCAACCGATTCGCGTGGTTGTATGAAGCTTTATCTCTGTTCCGTTTATCTATTCACGTGCTCAAAACATTCGGCGCATTTAGTGATAACGTACTTTGAAAATTAATAGTTATCTGTTTTTAACCGCCTTCAAAAAGGAGTAGGTACTCAATTCGACTTTATTTTTTAAGTGTGTTACAGCAGAATTTTGGTGCTTCTCATGTAGTGGTCCCATATAAATTTGAACAAGATCTGACCAGTAGTTTTTGAGTAATCCTTAATAATGCGTATTTAAGTGACATCGACTACATTCTACATTGATGATGTTCTTATTTTATTTAGCTATATTGAAGTCGATTGTACAAAATTTTTAATTTTATCACTTGCAGACATGTTATCTTTTAGTCCAGTTATAAACCCTATAGAGAATACGTGGTACACTAAAAAAAAGTTTAAATGCACTCCCAAGAAAATAAAAACGTAGAATATGAATGATCAAAAATGGTTTATAACATCGTTACTATATTTAATCGTTTTGCATTAAAAAGACTAATTAAATATTTTTTGTTTCGTTTTTTTTTCGTTTTAAGTTAAATCTTTTTCAGCTCTTATTAGACAGGTATCGAATTTAAATGAAAAAGTAAAGCATAGGTTGGAGCAATTGGATGATTTCGATGAAGATTCAATCAGGAAAACAATGGGTCTTAGCCAACAGGAGTTTGTTACCAAGATTAAGATGCTTGATGACGAAATTAAAAAGGTATGTATATGATGGTCTCATGATATGATGGATAGTTTATTTAAAATTATTGATAACTTAACCGGTAAAAAAATACCAATCAATATTCAGTTTATTAATTGCCCGAAAGTCTTATAACGGCTTCTGAGAATTAGAAGCTAATATATTTAAAATAATTTATTGTTATGGTTTTTCAAGGACAGAGTTACTTTCGAAAGCAGTGTTAAACAAAAAACAATTAATAAATATTATGCTGTGTAGTGTCCGCGTAAGAAAATATTGTTACGAGCTTGAGGTTCATGACAATAAAAACTGCCGATTGAATTACCAAAATTTACACTTTTATTACCGAACACCAATTAAAATTTAAAAGACACTAATAATTAATCACACTGATTCACTTTATTTCGCTCTGAAGCTTCGCTTGTCTCGTCAAATTCAATACTGCCCCGATCGCGACTTGCAGCGGCTTTAAATACACCTTTTACACCGAAACATCCAGAATATTCCAGTAAGCTGGGGCTTCTAGAAATCTTAATTCTTCTGTTCGATACTAGATGGCGTTGTTGGTCGAAAGTTCAAGATTGACATTTTCTAGGAAGCCATCCTCGCTCCGGTCCCCCCGACACTAGATGGCGCTAGTGCCAGGTACCTGACTCAACTTAGGCGCGCAACAATATTTTACCCAATTTCATCCCGAGGGTGTCATAAGAGGGGACAATGGGAAATTCAAGAAAGTTCTTTTGGCTTTTGATAGATAGCTTTGCCATTCTCTTCATGCAAAAGTTAAATACCCCGATCAGGAGCAGCTTCAGTGGTGTGAGACGTAGGAAATAGTAGGTATTTATAATTCTATGTCGAGTAAAAGGAAGCGACAGTAGCCTAAGAGCAGAAGCAGAAGCGGCAGGGCGCAGACCCCGAACTCAAAAAGTTTGTGGGTTCGAATCCGCCATACGACTACTGGCGTGAACCACTCGTAACACAAGCAGTTTAAGCTTACCTCGAGTGGTTAAGGGGAATATTAGTAATAATTCATAATAATAATCCTTTTCTTAAGCCTTTTTAATTTTATAGTTACACTTTGAAGCCGTAAACCAGTCGTCGAGTTGACTATAAATTCAGAATTACATGTTCTTGCTTTGATTTACAGCTGTTTATTAGGCAGTAGAAAAGTTCCTTCGATAATGATTCATTATTTTCCAGGCTTGGAATACTGAACAAAGAGTCAGAGCGTTCAAAATATGCATACAATGCTCAAAAATGCTCTCTGATGTCAATGTTATGCAGTTTTATCCAAGTAAATTTATATTGATATGCGATATTCTTGACAATTTTGGTAACTTAGTATTTCATCGACTGAAAATGAAAAGCTATGGGTGGGTTTATAATTACTATTGTATATAATATTGCATGCTTATTTTTATTATTTAAACCAATAAGTAGTTAACATTGTTTTACTTTTTTCATTGCTTCTTAAAATTTGCATTTGTTTAAAATTATACCTAGGTATATATACTGAAAATTGTTAGTCGTCGACATTACGTTTGTAGAAGTTAGATTTATAAAATTATAGTCATATAAGTATAAGTCAGTAAGTTTTCCCAAACAAAGAAATGTGAATACAATTTGAAATATCATTGTGATTTTTTATTGCAGAGATAAAGTGATCAAATCTCCATTAGACATAGATTCTACTCTTGTCCCAGAGGCAGCTAAAGAAACCTGTCAAAACTGGATATTCAAAATGGCGTCAATACGGGAACTATTACCACGTTTATACATGGAAATGTCCTTATTGAAATGCTATGTTTTTATTCATAAAGATGAAATTAAGCCAACTATCAGAAGACTTACTAAAATGATAAGGGGTATTGGAAATCCATTGGTGGCTGTTTATTTGCGTGTTTATTTGTGCAATGTAGCTTCAAAGTTATTAGGCAAAGAAAGTGAGGAGTATTTTTATAATAATTTGAAAGAGTTTCTTGAGGAATATCAACAGGTCTGAAAACATTTTTTTGTATACCTACTTATTCCTCTCATATACTGTAATAAGATTTTATGGAACATTAACTTGTTATAAATTAATAGCAAAAAGCTAAGCAAAGAGATAGGCAGCGGCGTTTGACAACTACCAAAAAAACTGCGGTTGCCAACCCGCTTGCCAAGCGTGGCAAGTATGGCAAATATTGCCCCTATGAGTCAATCTATGGAAGAGGCCCGTGTTCAGCAGTGGAATATAATTAATTTTTAACGGTAACGGCTCTTAAGAGCTTAGAGCCGTGGTAGCTCAGATGGTTAGTGCTCACTGTAATTTTCACAGTACGAAGAACAAGCCTCACCTCAATAGGCCATAATCCAACTTGCGAGCTAGACCTAATGGATACTAAATCTCTATTAACATTTATTGAGATAAAACTCTATAATAAATGCCAATGTGTGTGACACACTGTCCATAAACAGATGAACCAGAGGTACAGAAAGTTAGCCGTGGAACACCTAGGTAAACTACTTTGGTGTTCCACGGGTCAGAAAGGCTTCTTTTTACTATTACCTTAGGTAAATATTCGCAAAACTTAAAAACGCAAAATCAAGAATCAGTCTCTCTCATACAGCCTTTTGTTGCAGTCTTAAAGCAACCAAAGTTCGATTCCCATTGAAATTGTTAATTACAATTTTAAGTGCTGATTTACCACATGATCGGCGGCGAAGGAAAACATCGTGAGGAAACCTGCATGTCTGAGAAATAAGAAAAAAATATTTCGAAGTCATGTGAAGTTCGCCAAAGCGCATTGGGGCAGCGCGGCGGACACATCCTTGCCCTAAAACCCTTCTAGAAATGAGAGGCCTGTGCGCAGTGGGACGTATGTTGGCTGTAACTTTCCTTTTTTTACTTTTACCGTAACTGGGAAACATAATCCTTATGTTATTTTATTCATCACGATGTTTGTTTCGCCGCTAAGTACATGATTAATTAGCAAGTGAAATCGCAAAAAAACAATTTCTTTGCTGCGCTACGAGGGCAACGAAAAGCTTATGCCGCACTTCTACTGGCTAAACCCACGGTGGTCGCCATCAGCGTAGACGACGGGTGTCGCGATTTCCGTTCAAAGCGCCATCGAAGCCACATGAGTAAAGAAACCGACTAGAAGCAAAGATTCTAAGGAACGTTCAAAATTGTTACCTGTTTTGGTAGGGTTGGCATAAAGGATAATATTAAATAAACTATAGTACAGCCAACAAGCAGCGATACGAAAGGTCATTGTCACCTTTTTCCATTTGTCTGCCGATTTATGTACTCCACCACCGGCTGAGTTCAATATTGTTGCAAATTGCCAACGCGCACCACATCCGCTCGGATTTCAAGCGCCCTTGAGGCTCACTTCGGGGATTTGCTAGATCACCGTGACTGCAATTGAACAAAGAATAGGCCAATAAGCAACCGATTATTAGGATCCCGTCAATGTTTACGTGGAGCATTCTCAAGTCATTTGAATATAATCAAGTTCATGGTTTAGGTGAATAATTCCTTACCTTTCCATGAACTCCAAAAGGGTCGAAAATTGTTCACCACTAGCTCGCACTCGTGGTTCCATTATAATTATCCTTAAAAATGAAAAAAAAACCCAGTCAGTTCCCGCTTGTTTATCGTTATAAATATGTAATATACTGACAACCATTGATATCCAAAAAACTTTTTTAATTGACAAAGTTAAGAAACTTACCTTTGAATTATTTAGTTAATTTTAACACCGATAACTTCACTTTCACCAAGCAAATTTTAATCATGTTCTCAAGTATGTTTTGTTTATATTTAGCGGGCCCGGTCGACACAATTGACGTGTTGAATTTGACGTTTCATTTCTAGACCCCATAGCCAAGAAGTGACTTGTATTGAATGAACGCTTCGACTTAGCGTTATGTCCCTTTGTCTACCACTTTAAGTTCGATATCGCTAAGACGAAATCGATTTTCGAAATGGATTGGTCACGGAGGAATGCCACTTATCTAGGCTCTCAGGTCACTTAATGAATTATAACCTCGTAATTATTTTGTTATTGTAGGCCACACCGGCATGGTAAAGTTTCTATACCTTACATCGCGCTGAAGACACTTCAAGAAACTTTCTAAGAACTTATTTATTAATGTGGTTTTAGACTAATTTTAATATGCTCTCTTTTACTTGTTTATAGGTTTTCCATCCAATGATGGTTAAAAAGTATGGTACTCAACTTTTAACCCCTGATCAATATTTAACCCTTTATGAGCCTGCAGTAAATTGGTTAATATATGGGACGCTTAATTTAGATAGATCTAAGCCACTTTTACTCGAATTGTTGGATCAATGTGATGAAACCGAAAATAAGTAAGTGGTTTTTTTGAACTCTAATTAAGACTATCCGGAGGGACTAATTCTAGAACAAATAATTGTATACAATACAATCTACAATATCTAAAAAGAAAACCTTATCCGATTCGTGAGGGTGCTTTTAAGTATCGTGATATGATTCTGTTAATGTAATACTTTTCAGGGAAAAAATAAAAAAGTTACCCCACAGAAAATAAAATGTAATTTGATTAAATTGGGAAATATACATGGCAAAAGATACAGTTGCCAACATCGGTACTGCCAGATATTAAAAATTTGCTTAAATATAAGCAAAGTGTGATAGTAATTTGGATACTAAAATCATATATTTTAATAAAAGAATATTTTTATATCAACCAAGGTTTGGTGATGTTATTGCTGTAGTTTAACAAAAACCTTTTCAGATCAGCTAGGGTTTTTTTACATATTGTATATCTACCACTTTTACCCCTTTACTTTTAACATGCATTATTTATACTAAGCATAATGCTGAGTAAGAATAAAAATAAAAAATAAGGAAATTACTAAGAGAAGTCACTTTTAAATTCCAAATACTAAAATTATGGTTAAGATATTTTATGTTACATAAAGTAAAGTTACAACCTATATACGTCCCACTGCTGGGCACAGGCCTCCCCTGATTTCTGAGAGGGTTTTAAGGCAAGGAAGTGTCCGCCGCGCTGCCAAAATGCGTGTTGGCGAACTTCACATGTCTTCGAAATATTTTTTTCTTATTCCTCAGACATGCGGGTTTCCTCACGATGTTTTTCTTCATCGCCGAACACGTGGTAAATCAGCACTTAAAATTGCCATTAACAATTTAATTGGTGCCGGCGGGGATCGAACCCGGTTTGCTCGCGTACTGTGAAATTTACAGCGAGCGCTAACCATCTGAGCTACCACGGCTCTATGGTATACTATGTATATATTATGTTACATGGTGAATATATATTATTGATATGTAACATATTTCTTCTCGTTTGATCGCAACCTGTGGGAGTAATTTTGTGAAAAGGGACGGAATTTTGTAACAGGAAGCCGGGGAAGCGCGCGCTATTTGATTTGACCAATGCGCGAGCACGGTGTTACTAAAGTGTGCTGTTATATAAACTAATTTAAAAGTGTAAACTATATTAATAGATGTATTTACTGTAGATAATAAGTGCTTGATAACAGTGCAGATCATTAATAAAAATTTTCAAGTGAGTAATAATAAATGGTTAGTCGAATGAATATTTCTGTATTCAGCTTTTTAAATTTTGAGGTTTATTTCTGTCGTTGCTCAATTGATATTTACAATTTTGATTAAAACTAAACCTTATTATTTTTATAATTATATCTTATGTATACAAACAATAACTAAAAAGTTTCTAGAACATAAACTTTAAATAATACAGGTTTTCACATTTCTCTTACAAATCTTACAATTTCGCTCATATCTTCTATACGGGCTATCCGATTTTCGTAATTCCTATTGTAATATTAGTTCTAGACTTAAATCTATCTTTTGATATTTTCAACTCTTACGGAATTATGCAAAAATTCTAACATTCAAAATACTCTTCAAATTTACTTTAGTCAGCCGAATTAGATTACAATAGGAAATCCAATAGCAAATTTAAGTTAAGTAGTCCAATTAGAGTAAAATAATCATAATATAATAAAAAACAAATCAATTTACATCCTAATTAAAAACTTATAAAGCTTTCTGACTCAATACTTTGACATTAAAAACGCGCGAGTAAGTAGCATTTTTAATGTCGAAGTATCGAGTCAGATATAATCCTACTTCTACTTCCGCCCTGGACCTAGGTCTGGCTGTAGATACTACTTTGACTTTTTACCAAATACAACTTATTGATGATGAGATGTTTTTTCAGTGAACTTATTCTGAACTGCATCGTAGCTTCATTTGACTCTCAAAGCATAATAGAAAATTCTACAAGAATTTTGGATATGGTACACAAATCTGCCGATAAAATGGGTAAGTGAACCTCTTTAGCCTAACATTGCCCTTTAAATTAATTACCATTAAAAGTAAACTGGTAGCTCTTGGGCCACCCCAAAGCCGCAAATATTTTTATACAAGGTATCCAGTAAATAGTACGACATAGTGCAGGGGTGATAGCTAGGGTCAGTAACTAGATAGATTGTATGACATTAGCAATTACATACCTTCGGTGGCTTTGAAAAAAGCCGTTTGGGTTTGCTTGAGCGAAAGAAAAAGATATTTACATACAATACAATACATGAACAAAATAAAAGCATGAACAAAGTACAAACAAACTATCTACAAAACTAAAAAAAAATTATTTATATTCTAAATCGAATCGTCTATCTTTCTTAAGGAAAGATTTGATTACTTCCGCGTAGAATGTTGGTGAACGTTTTAACTGTACCAATAACTGATTTTTAATTGCGATAATTGATAAGTCTGAAAGACGTTCTTGATCTTGTATATTTTCTCAACAAATTTTAAAGATTTTACCTTTTCCTAGCTGATTAGAACTTTAACACACTTCAATTCATCACAAGGAACACTATTATCCTCCATTTTCACTAAAAATCTTTAAGAAAGCATACATTTTCAACTCGCAATATTCATTCACTCAAGTAAACAAACAGAGTAAACATTGAAATGTGAAGTGAACTTGCAAACGTATCGCCCGCGCGCCCCCGCACCCGACTAACTTCACACCGAAAGCCTGGCTTATCGCTCTATATTAATTGCTATATAAAAAATCGTAGTTATATTTCATTATAGAACATTTTGCCACATCCTAGAAACTGAGCGATCGTCTTCTCGAAAGCCCGGTAAAAAGCCCACGCGTGCGAGAGAGACGACTAATCGCTCAACTCCTTTTTTTATGACAGCAGTATCGCTAAGGCTACGAGGTCATGACCTGTGTAGAACAGAGGAGCGTGCGGGAAATTTAAAATAATTTGAAACAGTTTACGAGGTATTTTACTAGTTGATATTATTGTTTGAGCGATTTGATAGGGTAAGCCCGGCTTCTCGCTTCTATGGAGGCTTCGGCACTGTACGAGAGTAATATTATTGCTGCTCATTTACGCAAATTATTATAAAACATGTTCTAAAACCTTAAATGCGATTTGCACGCATTATGGATAAAGGACTACCTGCTTGCCGACCCGATCCGACCGGTTATTGTCTAACAAAAGAATTGGACGCTACCTCGCTATTTTTAGTATTGTGGTTTTTTCGCCATCGGATGGTTTCGGAGAGATACACTACTAGCGAATTTTCTTTAATAATAATAATAAGAAATATGCTATTTTAGTTCAAAGGGGGCTTTTGTATTAAATGCAAGTAATGTGACTTTGAATTTGGAACGTGGTACGCCCGTACTACCATTTGAATTACTTATTAGATAATTATCTACGGCCAAACAGCTGGTCGGTCTGTAATTGATATTTTGAAGGATATGGTACGATAGTAAAAACAGTAGACTTTAACTTAAATTTTATAAAAATAATATTTAAAGTAATCACAATAAATGCTCGAATTGCATTCCTTGTCTCTAGTGCGTAGGGTGCGGGGGAGCAACAATAGTATCCTGAAAGTGATTGCTAGCAGACTGGACAGCCTATACATATGCCATGGTAGTGCCATATCGGGTGGATTGGTGAGAAAATGGCACATATAAATATAAATGTATTTTTTTGTACTTATCAAATAATATTATGTCTACTAACAAAATATGAGCCTTGGTTGCTTAAATAAATGAATTTCTTCTTATATCCTAATACACGCTCGGCATCTTCTAAAGAATGTGTTTTTAAGTTTTCTCAGGCTTATTTGTGCCATTTGTCTTGCTGCAGTGTTAACCCTTGCTCTCCATTATCTGTCATTCTGTATCTGTTTTTCGTAGATTTTGTCTTTCATGCAGCCCCAATAAATAAATTGGTACTGAGACCTGTCTACTCTTGACTCATATGGATTTTCTAATTGCCAATTATGTAAATTGTGCAAGTTCATGTAGCCGTTCTTTCTGCAGGCTGACTCATTACTCCATAGCACATTATTAAAAAAATTGGAGTCCTCCCGATGCATTTCAAGCATGCGGCGGTAGAATTGAACTCTCGACGAAACTCTGTTAACGAGAGCGTAGTCTCTCGTTGACGACGTGTCACGACTGCACGCGTCGTTCATGAAATGGATGGTATCCATACCTCTTGAGCACTGAATGAATAGTGAACTTCGAAGTGAAGTTGTTGGGTCTTGTTCTCGTTCCTGTAGCTCTGTATCTTCGTCAACAACTTGAGGCCGTCCACCACCACGTTGACCAGTGAATCTGCCTTCCATGTAGGAGTTATGCACTCTGGTAAACATTTCGTGGTGTGGATGTCTCCTATCGGGAAACCTTTTGAACTTTGGCCAGCTTCTCCGTAAATAAGATGCATCTTAGCATACTCTTGCTGTGTGTAACTCAAAAAAGAAACGCGGCGGCTGGCCATGTTATACAGCACAAAAGCCTAGGTGGTCGCCAAGTCGTTGTAGTGATCACAATCAAAAATCCTAATTAATGGTTAGGCAAACAAAGTTCGGGCCCAAGGCACAAAACAGTCCTCAATATGAACAATAATTTGTACACTGAGATACGTTGCGCGCAGCTTAAGGTAGCGTACTGGCAACTGGCAAGCGTCCCAAATGAGAAATGAGGTTGAACGAATGAAATACAAACAACAATACAAAAAGAGCGAGATAGAACATTCGCTTCTTTTGTTAGACAATAACCGGTCGGGTTGGGTCGGCAAGCAGGTAAAGTCCTTTTTGCCGACCCAATCCGTCTCAATCCAATTTATTCATTCATATTAAGGTGTTACAACTTGTTTTATAATATTTTGCGTAAATGACCAGCAATAATATTACTCTCGTATTAGTTTGTGTCTAAATTACGTTAATTGCGTTTTAAACAATATCAGGTTATCTGGAACAAGAATAGCATATTTTTCATTATTTTTAAAGAAAATGCGCTATTGCCATTTTTTAAGGTTATTGTACAAAACTGGCACATACATTTTTTCACCACTGTAGGTTAAAGTGAAGCGATAAGAAAATCGTTCAGTGAAAAATATTTAAAAATATCTATTTCTTGAAACACATTCTTGTTTTTGATAGAAAAAAGACTTATCGTTGAGTAGAGAGAGTATTCACAAATAACTAGATGTAAAAAAAAGATAGTAGAAAAGGAATTTTTCATTACGAGATGTTTAAAAATCTGGTACAAGGTAGAGTTTTATCTTATAAGTATTTAGGTACTTTGACTTTATTATATTTGAGTTTTTATTCAAGTATGGCCACTCAAAAAGGCAAAAGATACTGCATAGCATATCGGTTCTTAAATAACAATAGAAATGACGACTTTCATTCTTTACTGTCCTTGTATACCGAAAGGTAAGATATTATTATTTATAGGTATATCTAGATAATAAGGTACCTAGTTACTGGCTTCATAGTTACAGATTTATTATTTGACTAGCGACCCGACCACAACTTCGCAGTTTTTGATTTTTTCGCGTATAGTGTCGATGACTTTAAATAAACGTTCAGTGTAAGTAGACCTCCCAGTACTAGTTACTGTCTACTAATGCAAGATTAGCATATACTAGTTATTTGTTAAACACTTGGTCGATAAAAGAATGACATTGAAAATAGCAGCACTTCCCATTGCCACTCTTTCTTTAAAAATGACGTCGCGAGTCGCATGTTTGTAAATAGCAAAAAAATTTGAAACAGAAAATGGTACGTATGTAAATTATCTGAGTTTCAAAGATGTTCACGTTGTTTATCTTAATATTTCTAGATGTTGGATATTAACCTTCCTCACATTGAACACTAATGTTTTCATTATCAGCAAATTACTAGTACATTGCATAACACCTCGGTGTTTTCTACTACCTACTAATATTAAAGGATTCAATTTATTTCATCACAACACCTAACCCTACAGTAGGAGCGGCCTTAACATAAGTGCGTAACGGGCTAAGTGATACAAACACTCACACGCGGACGTAAGGTACATTTCGTTTTAATACGTGCGCCGCGTGAATTTTTTTCGGCGATTTAATCGGTAGGCTAATTTCACGAAGGTCACTTCCGACTCGTGCAACGTATTATGAACATTAGCAACGTTGTAATTAGGTTAAACTCGCTTAGTGTGATCCTTCTGTTCTTGTACTATTGTTTTTCTTGTACTATTATTTATTTTGTGCAATAGCACGGATTGCTTTTTTTTTGGTTGTACTAATAAGTACAACCAAAAAAAAAATGCAATCCGTGCCTAAGCGGGTAAAAGCTATTTATAAACAATTTTTATTTCTATTTTATTTTGTGACACCCGAAAAGTTTTCAAACCAAATATATAAATAACAATCAATTAGTTTATCCTAACTGTAGCAAAATAAATAAATAAAATAAAATAAAATGGACAGAATATGGAAGAAAAATCTAAAAGATCTCACGACACTTTGCCAATTTTTAGTATTGTATCGGAATGGGCCGGTCATTTGGGATCCAAAACGCCTGGCAAACCATCCACCATCTTGTCATGCAAGGTTTTCAAATCTTTTGAAGAAAATAAAACATGCTAAAAATCGCATTGCATCAAAACTTTAAGACAGAAGATTTTATCTTTATTAAAGTTATATATTCTAAGTGTTCGAATCTTTTTTTGTGTATATTGCAAACCATAAAATTTTTGTTCGAAACTTTTATTACAACTCATAAAGTTTATGAGATAATCGTCAATAAACATTTATTTTAGCGTATTATAGAAAAATATGTATATAATTTATATGTTTAGAAATAGTGAAAAGAGTATATTTGAATTTTGCACTAGCATGTTTGTCTTTGTTACTGATATTATGATCGTCAATGCATCAGTGTCGTCAATTTTGTGTTAATGTTTTAAGTGAAACATTTTCTTTTCAACAGTTTTATTAAGTCATATATTGGCTTCGCTGGGAGAGCATTTGTGCAAGGCTGAAAGCTACAGGAAATTGTCTTCAGAAGCTTTAAGTCAGGCTTGGTGGAAGATTGCAAGCAACATTAGATCGACTGTTGATTTCCTGCAAGTTCTGGGGCCCTGGTTACAGTTTGCATGTACACAACTGTCCGTACGTTATTAAAATACTCTTTAAACTGTTATAGTCTTATTAAAGAACTCTCATACATGGTCTTGAAAGACTGGCATGACAAATCTGATAACTAAGATTTTCCATAATTGCTAAGAAGGATTAGCCAATCTGGGATTGAAATACTAACCAATTGCTTAGGCTCGACCGGAGGTAAATAGCGGTTTATTCCATCATTCGGGGAAACTTTCCTAAATTAATCCCAAAACCTTTAACATGGTAAAACGGTGGTCGCAACATGAACCAGTCGATATGATCGGAAAAAAACACACTCTCACAGTTACACTATCCTAAAAAACCAACGTTATTTCGTATGTTTTTAAAAATTCTATAAGTATTGTTGTATAAATTGCGAGTACTTGACTATTAATATTTGCACACCACTGAGGTAGAATATGTAGAACAAATTATACTCCTCGAACACCAACACCATTGTACAACCATATTCTTGCAAATAAAGATTATTATTATTATAATATTATTATTATTATGGTAAGTGACGAGAACGACGAGACAACGCATTTGTGTGGTTACTAAATTGTGATAATATGTGTTTGTGTAGTAGTAGCAGTAGTCTAAGCATCCACTCACCATCACTCTGGACTGTGAGTTGTTTGTCATATTATTTAAATTATGTTATAACATATAAAAGAGCCTTTGTAATGACGTCATTGTTAAAGAAATATATCTTAGTTTTTTTTACATACCTGTATGCTCGAAAGACGACTTTATTCGATTCGCCGGTTGGCTCGCGACGTAAAATGGCGGGAATCGCAAATTTTTGCTAACTTGCAAATTTTGCAATATTTTCACTTTGAGACAATATTTATGGATAAAACTTACAGGGATTCTTATTGAATGTATAAACTATCGAATAAAATTATTTTTAGTTGCCTAGAAATTGTAATAAAATTCATAAATTACCCTTTATAACATAGTAGTAGTAGATACTTCACTTTTAGTCTAAAATTACTACTAATTTGAATTCTACATGTTTGGTTTTTGGAGAAATCTACATGAAAATGTTTGGAAATATGTATATTTTTATGTTTTATGTGTTTCTATTCGTTACTCATACCAAAATATATAAAAAAAACGAAAATAATTTTTATCTGTATGAGATTTCCGAATAATATTTCAAATATTTTTTGTGTGAATTTGAAATAAATACAACGTCAAGTTATTTGAAATATGTTATAATACTATTACAATACCCAACCGCTAAAATGGGCCTTCCCGATTTCGAAGTACATTTGGCACTAACTTTTCACTTTTTATGCCACAAATTATATATCTACGTGTTTGTTTTATTACAAGGAATACACAAAAGTATAAAACTCACCTTTTTATTCCAAAAATACACAGAAAAACGGAGAAATCACTCAGAAGTAACTCACGCACTACTGTTGTAAAAAGCCATTACGTCAGAATGATTTTTATGTCTATATTTAGAATCGAAATTGACAGATTATGGTACCAAATTAAAGAGTATGTCTTTGTCTATGTCTGCATTATACATTTCAGTATTTGTTATAATTTTTGTCGGGTCACTGTCGAGCGAACAGGAACATGAAAACATTGACAGCAACATAATTGCGTTTGACAGCTCTGTAATCAAGTTGTTGTTCTGTGATTTATTTTTTAGGTCATATAAATTCTCGTTCCCCTGTGGCATTTGAATCCGTATCGTATCGCTGCAGCTAAATGCTAAGCCCCGAGGTTGTCTTAGGCTCAATTTATATTGCGGCGGAATGGAATGGAAAGGAAGCATCAATTTTGCCGTGACACGCGGGGAGGCGCAGAAATTCACGGGAATGCTCAGGTATTCCCGCGACTTCGTTTTAGGGCTATATGACAGTCGCCTTGGGACTGTAGAAAATTTAGTCTAGATTCAACGCCCTTCGTGCCACTTCCCACAAATTCCATTGACTTCACCGACAGTAGTTACGGGAATCCTCTAAAACTCCTCGAAAGATGCGCGATTTCTTTTTTGGCTCATATCTAGTTTGCGCATTACACAATTAACTGTAAGATTCATTTTACTACGTACAATTTCGTTACAAAATTCGCTTCTATTCCGTTCCGCAGCAGTGTAAATTAATCCTCAAGAATAAAAATGTTCTCATCACCATCATCATTAGTCCGTAGAAATCTATTGCTGAACTTGGGCCTCTCCCACTGCGGGTAGGATATCTCTTATCATCATGTTTGACGAACGCATTACCAAGACGTCTCGCACCTTTGTAGCTGCTTCCCGTATTTCACACATTGCGAAGAGATGACTTTTCTAGTAAAAAATGTTCTTGTAAATGAAAACGTATGATATTGATTATCTTACGGTTGCGGAGTAAGATAATGCACCACCCTATTTCGTCTATTGGATGTCGTAAAAGACGAATATGTGATATGTCACAAGGATCTTAGGGCTTTCGATATAGTGTAGTATAGTTGATAGTTTAAACCAGACGGAAAATACATAGACCAGCAACAGTACTGCGAATCTTGGTACGTCGAACGCCAATCTGCCTTGCAAGTGTGGCAATTAAGAAAAAAAATTCCTCCCCACAGTGGGAGAAGCCAAAGTCCAGCTGTGAACTTTTAAGGAATGTTGAAAAAGCAGAAGAATAACAAGAAATAAAAATGTTTTTTCGTAGACTCAACACACAAATATAATACTTCGGGGCACTATCCGATTTATGTTAAAGTGCGGAAAACCAGCTGAAGAGTTCTCGTCTAATTTTCACATGGTGATAAAGAGAATGCTTAAATCGATTCCTGACATTGAGGAAGTGTTTTTGATGGTAAGAATCAATTATTTTTTTAAATTAATTTTTTTAGTATAGTGAATCATAGCATAAAGTACTCAATAACTTTTTGATTTTGATGAGGTTGAAAAAGTATCTTGTAATAAAACAAGCAAGGCAGTTAATCTGTTGTAAAGAAATATAAATATTTTTTGTATTGAATAAAACTATTTTAACGGATTAAAAAAAATTAATCGCGATAAAATCAGTAAAAATAGTTCTATTCAATGTGTAGTGTTCGCGTAAATATAATATATAATTTATTTTTTGTTTGTTACGTATATGATCGAAATGAATTAAAATGAGTGTGACAGTAGTGTAGGACTCCTTCTTTGTCTAGGAATCTGTCTAGTTAGGTACCGCCTTCTTAGTTTTTAGCAGCAGTACAGCGCTGCTATATCCCCGTCTGAGCGCCAATATAATTAAAAGCAGTTAGACATTTCATTTTAGTCCTTAGAAGTGACAACGCATCTCTAGCCTTTTCTATTTGTAATTGGTGCCAGGTGTCCATGGGCTGCAGTGACTAGCAGCTGGAATGTAATTCTCTTGTCGCGACAATTTTATTAAAAAAATATCGGTATTCTTCAAAGTCAAGCAGAATGGTGTTTTTACATTTGAGTTGATAATATAAAAATGTTATATAACGTTTATCTAAAAAAATATGTACACGCAGGACGCTTTTATGCCACTCAAAACACTCAATACAAAAAAAAAAACAAAAATATGTACACGCAGGACGCTTTTATGCCACTTCTGGAGTTAGTGCAAACGTCGAGTGCTCGAACGGTCATGGCGAAGACAGTGTTGTCAATTTTCTTCGAGCGATACAATGCTGTACAAATTGAGGACCCCGTCGTAATTTCAAGTCTAATGAGACTTTGTTGCATACTGCATGATTCCATAAGGTAAGAACTACCAGTTTCAGTCCTTATTTTTGAAAAATAAGATTACAAAGGTCGTTTTCTAAAGAAATTATAAGGTTTTTGTTAGCCAATTTCTTTGATGAAATATATCATCAGCATAGTTACCACCTATCATAGTACACTGTTGAATATAGGTATCTCCCATATCACAGGGTGATATTTGCCACAGTTACCACACCTGGCAGGTAAGTTGGCAACCATAGTTATTATTATTCTGAGTCATCACCAAGAAGATGCCCCTGCCCAGTTTCCCTCCTGTTTCAGTTTCCTTTGTCGCCTTTTATGAAATTCACGAGATGATATAGGCTAAAAAGTGATATTTATACTGATAATTGTCCCTAATTCACCTGCTAAGGGTTGCGATTATGGCATATCCTCCAGTAGTGAGAACACCACATCAAGTTGTGGACAGGTATGGGCTTAAGATAAAAATAGAAATATTTATTGGTGCCCTGGTTTACAGTGCAGTGACCGTAGAAGACGAGAGTAAGGTGTGCGCCGAATTAATAAACAAATACGTTCACGCAGTGACGTACCAAGATGACTTCGAACAGCAGCTCAACTTCTACGTAGAATGTCGCTCCGCTTTTATTAAACTTGATGCAGTCCTCGTCGCGCTTGTGCATGTAAGTTGTTTTCGTAATTTTTTAATTTACTATCTGCATCTCACAGAATACCAGAACAATTCTATTATTTCCGTACCCTACTAATAGAAAATAATCCTAAAAAAAAAAAAAATCCTATACGTATAAGTGCCTTGTCATTATTCCACACACACATTTAACACACATTTACAGCCATATAAAAAAAATATCCGAAATTATGGTAAATTGTTATTTCTGCCAACAACGGAATGAGATGGTATTTGTGTTTGCCCTAAGAGGTTTATTGTTTACTTCTTAGATAGTCCAGTCACTTTAGGATAAAGGAGGGGTCAACCTCAGAAAGAGAGATAATGAGCTGAATTTTCGTATATGTCTTCATTTTCCACAGCATCCACTTACCATCAGGTGGACTGTGTGCTCGTTTGTCACCCTTATTCTATATAAGAAAAGAAAAATTGGCGTTCTAAAAATTGTCTGAAAAGTCTCATATAATCTTAAAATCGTAAGTTATTCAAGGTCAAAAAAAAGTAATAGATGTTATATAATTGGTGCAATAGGAACCGAGATAATCGCTGAAACTTTTTTTTACCTTTGACCTTAAATAACTTACGACCCAGACGACGAGACTTGAGAAAACTTTTAGAACGCCAAAATGAAGGTATATACGGAAATTCAGCTCATTATCTCTCATTACGAGGTTGATCACTAATTTGACTGGACTATAAGACATATTTTACAGTCACAGTCGAACAAGTTGTGCTGCAATTTTAATAAAGAGTTCCAATAATGATATATGAATCAGATAATGTGTTGGAATTTCAATGGAATCAAATTGTTGTGCTGTCATCGGTATTACATACATTTGCAAAAATTCAAATCAGTACATCAATAATTAAAAAGTTGGTTAAATTCGACTTCCAATGTTTGATTACTTAGGGCTCGTAAGCACTATGCGGTTTCTCGCAATGCTGTCGTTCGTACGACAGATCGCATCGCGGACCATCAACTTTGCCTTGAATTGAAACCCTGAATTTTGCTACTCATATAATAAATTATATGTCACCTGAGTAAAGATGAAATTAAATTGATCTATCTGTTAACATGAATCATTAATGGTCATTATTAGTTCAACATATTTCACAATGTATCTTGAAGTATTTCTACATTTTTCTGACTATATACATATTCATTATATAAATAAAACTGAAGTTTCTGTCTTTAATATTGAAATAACTGCCTTTTATGAATTTTTAATACTGAAATAACTTTGAAAGTTTTTGTCTGTCTGCCTGTCCGGGCTAATCTTGGGAATGGCTGAACCGATTGTGATGAAATTTTGCAAACGGATGAGATTTACGAGCAATGCTAGGAGTATTCTAAGCTATATTTTGCCGAAAATTTGGGAGTATTTTTTTAAAAATCGAAAACTTTATAAAATGAATTATTTTTGATAATAATCTTAAATCTTTGTTACAAATATGTATTATGATTATATGTGACATATTTCTTTTCTTTGTAATGCACTCGTACTGTTTGTACTTTTGCCAATCTCAAATAATTACTTATTATTTTTATAATAATTTGTTTAAAAACTACTTCACAATATGTAATGCGTTACACTGCGAAGTTTTTGGAAGATATTGACACCTGCTTGAGCCAGCAGATAGTCGATGACGGTAATGTCTCGGGCACATAAGCAGACACATTGTCTTGTCACATCACAATCAAAACACTTGTTTTATCGTTTCCACTAACAGTTCACATGCGCACAGATTCGCACTAATTTAACTATTCAAAATTCACTTCAAACCGTAATTTATACTTTAACCTCTCAGTCCCAAGCCACCCACAGCACTTTAAACCATTAAAACTTATATTTGAAGACTACTTTTCTATGAAGAAGTTTGGCATTACAGAATCAATATGAAATTTTCTATCCTCTAGTGCAATAAAAAGTCAAGTTATCCTATGGATATGTATTTACATATAATCTACGTTCATTTCGTACATCATTTTCGTGTGAATGTTATTGTGTTGATTTTTGGATTTTTGTAGTGTTTTTATTAGTGTTTTAGTATAGTGTTTTATTATAAAATTGTAATGAAAGTTTTTGTGCGAATATAATTTATCTTTTTACGTAAATAATTTCGAGTAATATATATTGAAATAATTGTGATTTTCACGCTGCCGACATTCGCGTGGTATATTTTGTTTTTGTTATCAGAATACAATAGTCTTTTTGTAATGAAGTAAAACCTGACCTTTTATATAGAGAATTTTGTATAGATTTTATAATGCCAAACTTCATTATAGAAAAGTAGTCTCTAAATATAAGTTTTAATGGTTTTAAGTGCTGGGTGCAGTCGCATGCGATTGCTCGGGATTTTCCGGGCGCATGCGACTGCATGGGCTTTTTGTTGAGATTGAGAGAGCATCAATTCCGAAACCCATCTTCATAGCTTTAGTTGGTGGTGAATAAATATAATGAAATTTTAGTCCGTGAACGCACTAGCGTGCCGCGCGGGGCGCGGGCGCGGGCGCTGGCTGCAGCGCGCGTGCGCCGCCTACTGCTTCGTGACGGTGCCCTCGCTGCACTGCGCGCTCACCAAGGCGCAGCTCTACCTGCTCTCCGGCCAAGCCGCGCTGCTCAGTGCCTGCATCGGCCAGGGTTCGAAACTTGTTTGACAAATTAAAACCGTTTTCTTATTTGATATACCTTGAAAACAGATTTAAAGACTTCTAAAGGACAATAAAAATATTTGAAGTGAAAAGGAGCTTATATATTATAATCTCTTCATATAACCTAAGACTACTATCGATAGATTCACCAAAAATTCATAGTATTCTATATTTTTAAAAGTACTCGCAATGTTTTATTTACAGCTGAAGCCAACCTCAAAGCGTTGGTGGGTATTATACCTGACATTCCTCAATACATACAAGAAGACGGTCAAAACAAATCAACACACGATAGATTGGTCGGTCTTCTGAGCAACTTCTTGTCTACATTACTAATTCTGCCTGTAAGGTTTTCTCCTTAAAATGTATTCTAGTTATAACGGAATCCATCTTATTAACACTAGTAAAGATCCTCTAAATCTGATGATAAAATATAACTTATTTTATTATCAACCGATAAACACCATTGTTAGTAGTAGTCATAGAATACTATAATACATACATTATAGAACGGGGGGACGGAGCCTATGTAGTCACTAACATGTCAATTCACACCTATTAAACGATTGAAACGACACTTTTTATGTCTAGCGTCGCCGCATGCAAATTATTTAAAAATAGCAAATTGTGCAATAATTACGTGTCGAAAGAACAGCGGGAAATGGAATTTAAATAAAGGAGACATATTCTACAATCAGTAAGTCCAAACTATTTATATTTTGTGAATATTAGAAACAAAAATAAAGAAATAATTATGTGTCAAAAACATTTATCAAAAGTCTAAAATGTGTTTGTAGTAGTGATAACTGATAATACGACGTAATTGCTTGTATATGCTCCCGGCGACGCCAATCCTCCTACAAAATAAGGTTGACATCCATTCTATTGTGTATTATAGTATTCTATGGTAGTAGTAGTAGGTAGTAGTTAAGGTTTGTTATTTTAAGGTTTCTCCATACTACTTAATTATCTTTTATAATTTATCACGGCAACAAAATTTATTGGTGGAATTTCTTTCATTGCCTGTCTGAAGCGCCTGATAAAATTAGTTTATTTCATGTTACAATAAGTTTCTCAAATTACATCCGGTTGAAAGAGCCTTATGGAACATTTAGATACTCGTCGAGCGCAGACGAATAGGCACAAGTGCGAACATGTAAATGTGTTGTTCAGGTGTGCTCACTACTCGGCCTGAGTACACGCCTGTTCTCCACTCGATGTTGGTAATTTTTTAGCGCGAATCAAAGGATTGTTTGTGTGTATTCGTACCCATGTCTACATACTCGTCATTATTCAGTGTGGACTATCATTATAATTAACTCTGATAATCTACCGTTTTATTTTTTCCTAATGCATTTTTCTTTTGACATAATCTATAAAAATATAAGTACGGTTCAGTTGAAATTAAGAATTTCACATGAACGACACTATTTTTATATCTCTTACTTAACACTAACTATTTCTACTACTGCTGTCTTCATCCTTTTTCGTTTAAAATTTAGTGAGTCTATAAAACTTAAGTAGACACAATGTCGTTGTAACGAGATGCACGTCTTTCATGATTAAAAAAGTCTACGTTGAATGAATAAAGACGAATATGTAAAAACGTCGCCCACGTCGACGAATAACTCTTAGTAGCGAGTTATTTGTCGATTTGTTTGTCCGATAATCTAAATTTTCCATAATGTGATATCAAATCGAAAGAAGGAGCTCATGTTTAATGGATATGCTTGTCAATGTAATTATACATTTGCCATTTATTTGAATTTAAAGAAAAAATACTTTAATAAAATCGGACTACTTAAGTTAAAAAATGGTATGTGCACATTGCCAATTAATTTAATTAGGATCTCCTACAGCAACGGTGTTATTGGAAGGTGTACTTATTAAATAGTTAAATAATTCTAAAGGTAACAAATATACTTGGACACTAAAAAAAAATATATTTATTTTAGGACAATGTGGATAGTAACTGCAAAGCTTATGTATTGAGTGGATTTATAAAACTAATGGAGAGAATACACTGGAAAAAGACTGATTCCTTGTACTATACCTTGCTTCTTAAGATTTTGGATCTCCTTTGCCAAATGACACAGGAAAAATACGCTTATCACATAGATTTCGGTTAGTTCTTTAAAATTTTACAACTCAATAAGCAAAAAATTGACAGTTGAATGAAAAAAAAGTTTAAAACAAAATTTGTTTCAGTTATTTCCAACGATGATTTGTATGGCTCCGAAGAAGAATTTATTGACAGTATTGAAAGATACGCGACAAACATATGTCAAGAACTACTGGTCGTTTTGAAACTATTAGGTGATAACAAAGACACAAAGAAACAATATAATTTATCTTTGGAATTATTTTGGCGTGTTACTAGACGTGGTGATTTAAACGAGCCGTCCATGTCCAGCCTAGCCGCTAACTTGTGGATGTTGTCACAGAAGCTGCAGGATTCTAATAACAAATTCGCTGTAAGTTTTTCCAACGTCGAATAATTTATACCTATTCAAAGTTATATTTAAACTTTAAAATTTAAATAAATAAGTTTATTTATATGTTGATATTGGTTATGTTTATAAATAAATGTAATATTTTTTACAGAAAATAATGTTAACATCTTTAGAAAAAGATAAAAATCAAGCATCGCGTCAACTGTTCGCTAAATTAAAAAGTGATTGAAAGTATCAAATGAAGTGATATAAAAAACATTCCAGTTTTATTCGTAATTAAATCAGTTTAGCTATATTATAATTTGTAATGTGTTATTATTATTAAGTATTATTTTGTATATACAAATATAAAACTTTAAATATAGAAATACTTTTTGACACTACTGTTTTATTTTCGGAACTCTACTGCTATATTTTCGAAGTAAAATCAGTTTGAGCTTCAGTTTATCATGTACTTAACTTTTACTTTTATTTATTTTTTGTTACAAACTAGGGTAAGGCCAGCAATTGGCAATCCACCAATTTATTGGGAGGATGAAGTCATTTAACAATAATAAGGTTGCCAGTCCGAACACAGTTTAATTTCTGGGAAGTAAATAGTAGATTTAACCTTATAAAATACTGGCAACACAGAAATTATTCCTTCTCCAAAATGGCGTCGCAATTAAAACATGTTTGTCGTACTGGGACCTGAAAAAAATCTAACAATACTCTGTGTTTTTGCTAACGTAAGAGAAGAGGTTCACTTATCTCTACATTATTCGTAAATATTTTGAATTTTGGTTACAGATACTATTCAATTCAATTATTTAGTTATTTAGCTTCCTTTCTCAATCATGATTTTTAATGTTTAGCCCCATTTCCTTTTTTTTGCGGTACCAACATTTGGTACATCATCATCATCATCATCATCATTACAGCCCTTCACAAGTCCACTGCTGAACATAGGCCTCCCCCAAGTAATGCCACAAAACACGGTCCTGAGCCACCTGCATCCATCGACTTCCTGCATCTCTTACCAGGTCGTCACTCCATCTAGTGGGGGTCGCCCTACACTACGCCTACCGGTACGAGGCTGCCACTCGAGAACCTTTCTTCCCCATCGGTTATCGGTTCTTCGAGCTATATGGCCGGACCATTGCCACTTCAGCTTACTAATCCGTCGGGCTATGTCGGTCACTCTGGTTTTACTGCGGATATCCTCATTTCTAAGTCTATCACGCAGAGAAACTCCGAGAATAGCCTTCTCCATAGCTCGCTGAGCGACCTTGAGCGTCCTCATACGGCCAGCAGTGAAGGACCACGTCTCAGATCCGTAAATCATCACTGGCAACACGCACTGGTTGTACAATCTAGTTTTCAGAGATTGAGGTATATACCTGACAAGAAGATGTGTCGTAATTTCCCGAACGCTGCCCAGCCGAGTTGAATCCGTCGATTGACCTCTCGGTCGAAGTTGGACTTACCTAGTCGGACTATTTGTCCCAGGTAAACGTACTCGTCAACAACTTCGATCATAGTGCTCCCAACAACTACCGGCATAGGTGTGACATGGACATTAAACATGATCTTTGTTTTGTCAATGTTCATCTTAAGACCTATCCGTTGGGAGACACCATTGAGGTCATTGAGCATAGTGCTAAGGTCCTCCAGCGATTCTGCCATAAGGACTATATCGTCGGCAAATCGAAGGTGAGTGATGTACTCGCCATTGATGTTAATACCGTATCCTTTCCAGTCCAGTAGCTTGAAAACGTCTTCCAAAGCAGCGGTGAAGAGTTTCGGGGATATAACATCACCCTGTCTGAAAAGGAACCAGACAAACGTTAAACTAAGAAACAGAAGGGAGGAATCGAGGCTTCTCTCGATCCGGCCTCCTATGACGCCTACGTTGGGTTCGAGAACAACGTATGTGATCTCCGCAACGGAGTAACACACAAGGGCGATAACCTCTTCCTTTTCAGAAAATAGGTTCAGGCGGGGATTACTGGTCTTCCGAATTCGTCCCGGTCCCAACGCTTAAATTCTTCGATATGGACTGTATCACTTTAAGGGGAGAATTCCTTGGGAATAAAACAGCAATTATCTTCAAACCGTTCCGTGAGAGAGTAATTACTTTTCCCTATCACTTCCCTATACTTTTTCTTTCTTCTTCTTATTGACTGCTGGTCTTGCACTTTTACCGAACGATTTGCAAGAAAAATCAATTTACTGAACTACCTCGAAGCTAAACGCGAAAGTGAGCCGCGCCATTTGTGCGCTTGCGCAACTCAATTACATCAATTTGTACTATCACTCTCTCACGGTTTGCTCAATAACTTTATTTGTATAAGACATACATTTATACAATTTACTTATAAAGATAGCACAGAAAAATATCTATACTACGATATACATTACATTTTCATATCACAAAAAACCCTTTATTTATTTAACAAAATATGCTTATTTTACTCACATGTTCAAAGTTGGAATTTCTTAAATATTTAACATAGAAAGTTAAAACAATGTTTTCCACTTGAAATTATACATATCTTAACTAATACAATAGTTTAATTTACATTTTCTCTATGCATTTTACTATTAAAACACTTTTAAATTTCTTATACAAAACTATCAATATTTCACTAATCCAAAGGAATTTTCACATGAAAATAACACAGAATTCACCTATTTTGTTCATACAGTCAATCTAGAATATTTTACAAGTCAATTTTACATAAATTGCTGAAATTTGCAAATATTTAAATTTCTACTTATTTTGACCTCCTAAGTTAACGCGCGGCTATGAACTCACGCTATTTGAACAACTAATTCTCACACGACTTTCAATTGTCGGCAAAAATGGTAAATTTAGCACACACGGCTATCAACCAATAATAGGTGAACAACTGATTCTACACGACTCTCAAATTGTAGGAAATTATTTCTAACTAGATTCTTATCAGTTATCATGTCTCTTATCAGATAACATAAACAAAATATTTTATGAATCAAACATTGAAAACAAACATTTTGTTTTCATACAAAACGTATCAAACTTATATAAGATAATACTTATGCAATTAATTTCCATTAATTTTACTTATGCACAGCGATCATCTCGACCGGGGAACAAATCCTGGTCTTTAACTTTATTTTAATATTTCTTTAAATTAACATTATTGGAAAGATGATTTCAACCGGGATCAAATCCGGTAACATAATTTATATCTTAAAAATTCCCTATATGAATTTATTAAGAGATATTACTAAGAAAACGATAAACTATTCCGGCCTGGGAGTCGAACCCAAGACCTTCATATCATTAATTCGATATTTCTTTAAGATTCAATTAAGCATTTTCTTATCGGAATATTGTTGCTTGATAATTTGCTTTTTAGATGCTATTCGTAATCGGTTAACTAATAAATTGAAATATTCTTATAGGCGCGTCGCCAACAATCTAATCCCCCGTGCATCAGCACCATCATTTGGGAGGCGTCGCGGGTACCAGGACTATTATTCTGGATGTAGGTCTCCTCAAGATACCTGTGCTAGTAATGACGTCAACCACTCTGGTGTGACCGTCTGGTCCCGGTAGCGTCCTACTAATCTTGCCTTTCGGCCACGTATTTCGTGGCAATGAATGATCTATTATCAAGACAATATCACCTTCTTTAGGTTCATAAACTTTCCGTTATTACCTGTTCGAGGTATTAAAGTAGGCATGTATTCTTTTAGCCATCTTGTCCTAAAATGGTCGGCTAACCTCTGTGCAGATTTCCAATTTAGTTGACCCGTCAGATGTTGCTCTAAAAATAATCCAGGTGGTCGATCACCACATGAGCGTCCCAGAAGAAAATGATTGGGTGTCAAACCCTCTTCAGGACTATCCATACTGAATGTTACCAGAGGTCTGGAATTTACAGTATGCTCTGCTTCCAAAAGCAACGTATGCAGAACCTCCTCTCGCGGGCTCCTTTCTTTGAGCGTAGCGGTCAACGCAATTTTAATTGATCTTACTAACCTCTCCCAGGCGCCACCCATGTGCGGTGCTCCCGGAGGTATAAATTTCCATTTAATATATTTTTTAAATGACTCATTTTCATGCCCTCATAGCATTCTTCGCATGCTTTCAATAATTCTTTATTCGCAGCTTTGAAATTTGTCCCGTTATCGCTGTATATAACGGCTGGTTTTCCTCTTCTGGCGATAAATCGCCTCAATGCCATTATCATTGACGCTGGTGTCAATGAGGCTGCTAATTCCAGATGTACTGCTCTGGTGGTCAGACCCGTAAATAAAACACCCCAACGTTTTTCGTGTCGCCTTCCTATAGTCACACTCATAGGTTCGAAATAATCTACGGCTGAACATGTAAAAGGTGGTTCATTGTGAGCTATTCTCTCCAGAGGAATATTTCCTTGTGGCACGTTCTGCGGTTTTGACCTGTATGTCCTGCACCACTGACAATGATGTGACACACTTCGTACTACATTACGCAGGTTCAAGACATAAAATTTTTGATTCACCTCATTCATCACCGTCTGGTGATTGGCATGTCCAAAATGATGATGAACTTCTCTAATCATCATTTTAACGATTTCGTGTTTACCGTCTAATACGACCGGTTTTCTACTTTCCTCGGTCAAATTAGACTTAAAAGGTAAACGCCCATTTAAACGGAGTAAGTTATCTTCTCCTATTTCCATAGATAATTTACTTAAGCGTGAACTTCTTTCAACGCTTTTGCCTGCTTTCAAGCATTTTATTTCCAAATGAAAACACTCGTCTTGAACGAGCTTCCAAATTAATAATTCAGCTTTTTTCAAGAGCGCTATGTCCAACGCGCTATCGGGTCCTTTAACCGACTTTGCTAAAACTTCGTTGGAACACATAACCGACTTTTCGGCTGCGTTGTCGGGTCCTTTAACCGACTTTCTTAAACTCTTGAATTTTTCTACCGCTTGTAAGGTGCGTGTAGTTGCCCCAAGGGAATTTCTTAAAGCTGCTAAATCGTCCGTAGTCGGGTAGACTTAACGGTTCTTGCTTTCTCAGCGCATTTACGCCTTTTGGCGATTTTTCTTCACCTATTTCTAAGCTATTTATGATGTCCACTTGTTTGGGCCATAAATCAGGACTTTTCCTGAGGAATTCAGGTCCTTGAAACCAGCGATGACTTACATCGACGGTGGAAGGAAAATTTCTACTGGCGTCGTCTGCCACGTTGTGTGACGTTGGAACCCA